CGGAGAGACTTCCTCAGACATGTGACTTGGCTCATGATCGGGATGGAACTATCTTGCAGGATGCTCAGAGCTTGGCTTTTCTCTTTAGTTGGATTTCTTACCGTTTTGTTCTCCGCCGACTCAATAGGGCTGCCCATCATGTAGCATAAAAGGCCCACTCATCGGGAGTTCGACTATTGGTCGACCCCGCGCTCTTTTTATTTTCTCTGTATGACTGAATTTATAACAACTGACTTTGCGAAAAAAATAGTATATGGACATGTTTGATAAAAATGTATAGCAGATGGACATGTTCTACATATAATACTATTTAAAATAAAGCATAAAATTTTATATTTTGTATGAAAGAATTGAATGATTATTCAGACCAAGGTTGTCAATCCGCGGGTCAACCCGCAGGTCAACCCAATTTGACCCTGACCTGGTGAGAAAAACGGGCCGCACACACGCCGTGTCGATCGCTACAAGGTATCGGGTTGGAGGTCAAATTGTATCATTTTTTCCTTTGGTGTTATGACCTTGTTGTTCGATGTTCAGGAAGATACATGCTTTCGATTGCTTTGAGCCAAAGTTGGTTAATGGATCACTTCGAATTCCTAAGGCGCTGATTGACGCTGGGCGAAAAGGTTGGATAAGAGTTTTAGCACAATTTATGGACTCTCCATTTTGCTATTCGGTCCCGGGCTAATTGGTTGTGGGCAATGTAGTTAAAAACGCGTATTAAAATGCAAAAATGCATGTTTTTAAATTTATGACTAGGCAAAACACATTAGTTTCTATATAAAAACGTATTGTGTATAAAAACGGTAAACAAGATGTAAAAAATGGTAAAAATGGTCAAACATACGTTTCTAATCCATTTTTGTACGTTTCTAGTTGAAGGAATTCCTACCAATTTCACGCACTCTCCCAACAAACCAACCATTAGAACATCAATCCCTACAGTCAAATTAATCTAAAACAAGTCTTAAATCCTTTCTCAAAGTTTGAGGACAATCCAACAGGTTTGTTTTTTTGCAAATCCTCCCTGGAACCAACTGCACAACTATAGGAGAACAAGGTTGCACCCTGTCTGACTAACAATATTTCTAGACGAACCAGAAATCATAACGGCGATCCCAATGGTTGGATAAGATCTTAGCAAGTATGGAACGTGTCCTCCAAATTTGAGAAAGATCCAGCGCTGATTGTATTGTAATCCCCTTTTGAACTCACTACTTTGCTGCAAATTGAAAACTTGGTTGCCACTTAAGCCATCCAACTTTCCATTAATTACAATTAAGCCCTTCAATTTTCAATTCACTGCACATTCTTTTAGATTTTAAATGAGTTTAACCATAACTCAATTAATCAAACACCTTCCTCATGTCGTAGTTAATCAATTCAACGATTGCTTCATATTTAAAAATCGCTCAAATATTGGGATGACGTCACCTTGATGCGAGCATGACATATGACTAGGGGTGTTCAAATGGTGTGGTTACCGTGGTAACCATTTTAAGCGGTATTATTGGATAATTTGGCTTGGTTAATTTGGATAAGTGGTTTGGTTCGGTTAAAGTTGTTAGCTTGTTTGGTTTAGGTGGTTTGGTTTGATTTGGTTTCAGACACTCCTAACCAGTCAAACCAAATTAACCAGTTAAGTAATTAGCCATACATCTAATATATATTATATACACATACTTAATACTTTGCATAACCACTCAAAAGTTAAACGTGCATCCCTTTTAGACTCATAAAATATAAAGCTCGATATTGTTCCTATAGTGTATATATGTATATGTAGAGTATAGATCACAATATATGTACGCCTAATTTAGATAAATCTTATACATTATGTTGGATGAAAACTTGAAAGCAAAGTAATTTTCAGCCTATGAAAATTGCTAAGAGACTAAGTCAATTTACACAAACACAACAATTCATTAACCCATAGCATTATGATAAATTTTTGTTAGGTGAATACTTCTATACTAGCGTAAGATAATTGTTTTAGTTGCATGTATTTATGTTAAGGGTAGGCTATAACTATGTGTTAATTGTTATGTTTTATTCATTATTTAAATTGCGAATTGATAAACTAACCAAAATTTTTCTCAATAAATCATATTGTGATTTTATATTGATTAATCTGGTTAACCAATTAACCAAACCGATTAAACTTTAGTTTGGTTAATATGGTTGTTGTACTAGTTTGGACGGTTTGGTTATGATATTGTATTTCATGATTAATGAAATTTAGCCTTATTTGGTTTAGTAATTACCATGATAACCATTTGAACACCCCTACATATGACATGTTCAAGAGGGATGAGGATCTTACATCACAGCTTAATTAAGTTATTACATTGTTGTTTGATGTGCGACTTAAGCGATTAATATTTACTAATAATCTGATTTCTCGCGTTGAATGGATGAAGAACCTTAGGACTTTGCTATGGTGACTTGCAAGTTACCGTAACTTTGACAAATGGTCGACCTATTCACTGACGAGGTTGACCTATTTGGACAAAACGGTTGATCTGTTCACTGATGAGGTCGACCTATTTGGACAAAATGGTCGACCTCTTCACTTATATGGTCGACCTATTTGGACAAAATGGTTGACCTCATTTTTGGAATGGTCGACTAGATGTACTATATTTCATTTGCTATGTTCACCACTAAAAGGCACTATACAAAAAATGGTCTACCATTTCCATCAAGTGGTCTACCTCTTTCTCCAAGCGGTCCACCTCTTTCAATAGTTGATCCACCTATTGAACCATTCCTATTGATATCATCATATATAATTACAGTCTAATAACAATAGATATACTTTCTAGTAAGAGATTTAAAATTAGTACAAAGGCTGCAAGCATAGAGGACAAGTTTCTCTAGTGAATGTTCTCCCGTAGATTTGAAAAATGTTACGCATATTTATTGCTTATATTGCGTTACTATAAAAACAATTTTATATTGTTGGTCTCCTATTGTCCACTATTTTACTAATGTAAGTATAAGGCAACTGTGTTATCTGGTCAATAGGTCGCCAAAAGCGGAGATCATTGGCAGAAAGAGATATGTAAACCATTTTGCGGAATCGGTAGGCTTTTTTGGCGGAAGCGGTCTACTATCTCAAAGAAGCAGTTGTAAGTTAGATGGTAAGTGTGTCACATGTAGATCCTTTGCCAGAAGCGGTAGACACGCTGTCTCGAGTGGTATACCACTTGGTGGAAGAGGTCGACCACTCAAGGTAATTGTGTCATCAGGTCAACCCATTTTCGAAGCGGTAGACCGGTTGACTCAAGTGGTATACCACTTGGTGGAAGAGGTCGGCCACTTAAGGTAATTGTGTCATCAGGTTAACCCATTTTCGAAGCGGTAGACCGCTTGACTCAAGTGGTATACCAGTTGGTGGAAGAGGTCGACCACTTTAAAGTAAGTGTATCATCAGGTCGACCCATTTCCGGAAGTGGTAGACCGGATGACTCAAGTGGTAGACCACTTGGTGGAAGAGATTGACCGCTTGAAGGTAATTGTGTCATTAGGTCGACCCATTTTCGGAAGTGGTAGACCGGATGACTCAAGTGGTAGATCACTTGGTGGAAGAGGTCGACCACTTGGAGGTAAGCGTGTCATCAGGTAGACCCATTGCGGAAGTGATAGACCGGATGATTCAAGTGGTGTATCACTAGGTCGACCCATTTTCGGAAGTGGTAGACCGAATGACTCAAGTGATAGACCACTTGGTGAAATAGGACAACCCTTTTCTTGGAAAGTGGTCGACCACTTAATGGAAGATGTCGACCATTTTCTCCAAGTTACGGTGACTTGCAAGTCACCGTAGGTATACCCAGAACCTTATAATAAAAGAAACCGCGGTAATCCTATTTAGTCTTACATCCATCCAGATTGAAACAAAATGGCTGATAATGAAGTGCAACTGTTGATTGGTTATACTTTTTTATGAATGAAGAAGTCTCATTATTTCCTTATTGCATTGTTGGCATGCCCTCATGTCCATTACATGAAGTTGGAGACATGCCGCCCATGTCATTGTTCATGGTTATTGACATGCACCTCTTGTCACACTTGGCTATACTATCATGCTTACTACAAGCACATGTGGCTTGGGTTTGTTGTGACTTCGTGAGTACGTCTATCTTCCCACTATTTGTGGTTTATGACATGCCTCCCATGCCATTGCTCATGGTAGATGATGTGCCCTCTTGCCACACTTAGACAAAGAGCGTGGTGTTCTCTTGAACACACCCCTCTGTACACCTTCCTTGACATCAACGTGCCCTCCAGCCTGACACTTCACATTTAACTTGTCAGGTGATAGGCTACCACATCTCCCTTGTCACCCCCTTGATGGTTTGTATCCATCAGGCTTGCTGGGCATGGATGGAAATAGAGTTGAGCATGCTTTTGGTAGCACATCTTCATTGGGTGTGTCTCCACCAACTCTCACGTTCAGGCAAGCTCTAGCCTCTGAGATGGTTTTTAATGTAACTGTTTGCACAAGCAGTTGCTTTACGTGAGTGGAACGTGGGAGCGAGATTCTCGCTACAACCACCACGTTGAAGAGGTGGTTGACTTGTCACCGGAGGCGATAAGGTCTCTGACCATGGCTGAGTAGTCCGACCACTCGAGTCTAGAATACTCGTATCCCTAGTAACAATGCTTGATGGTGGATCTACACTATCTTTTGCTGAAACCTTTGATCTCTACACCGCTTTCATTAAAAGTTGGCGAACCTCCAAAAAAAAATAATTTTTATTTACCTCACAAATCTCATCCAGTTGATCCAAACGTCGATTTAGGTGAGTATGGAAACAATCAAGTTGAGATATAATTTGTTTTGTGTATCCCACCATAGCCTACTGCATTAATTTTATTTCTACCGGTAGTGACTGGTGGAGAAACAAGGTGATGGTAGACAATGCAGTCAAAATCGCGCTTTAAAACTTAAAAACTTACGATTTTACGTTTCTAGGTCACTAAAATGCTTTTACACAAAATCTCATTTTTTATAACTTATGTAGTTAAAAACTCCGTTTTAAAACTTAAAAACTTACGATTTTACGCTTCTAAATCACCAAAATGTTTCGACGTAGAAATTCGCTTTTGACTACATTGGTGGTAGTTACACCCAAACATGGCACCTATGATGGCTGACCTCTTGACCCACCATTTTTTCTAGCATCACTTTTTGCTAATTGGCCAAGATCATACCTGGCAACTAGCTCTTTTGAAAAACTAGGTGAAAGATCACATTCTTGTTCTCTTAGTCTTGGAGCCATCAAATCAAGCACACAAGATCCCATTAGGTGTGCAAATTTTTAGTTACTTTTCCATCTAATAAAAAGTTAAATAAAAAATACAACGATGGAGGAGATCATCCCGCCGCTTCTTCATCTTCTCTCCTCACTTCCGCCGCCGCACAAATCCAGTCCGAATCGAAAGAACTCCTCCACTCGGCTTCAATTGAAAGAAAGGAGAAAGGTAGGCTGTTCTCTGCAGGCTATTGAACAACCACCACCACCAAATTGAAAAAACTCCCGACTTGGTTATTCAACTTCCGCCCGCCATCAAAGAGAGGGGTGAGGGACAGAGGCGCCGATGATGATCTGGAATTCAGGAAATGAATGAACGCGTCACTGTCTTGTTAAAGAAGATGAACAAGAGCTATACTAAATCATCATGATTTGTTCCAATTTTGAGATTTGGTATACGGCGAGAGATTGCAGGAAGAGAAGATTGGGCTTGTGGCTTTGGGGGGTAACCCCCAGTTCTTCTTCTTTTTCTTCTTCGCAACCACCCGTCGCCGCTGCATCGATCTCCCACCCCCAATTCTTCTTCTTCACAATCACCCGTCACCGATGCATCGATCTCCCACCCCTAGTTCTTCTTCTTCGCAACCACCCGCCGCCGATTCATCAATCTCCCACCTCCAATTCCTTCTTCGTTGCCACAACTTCTCAATCTCTCCCGCCCTAAGAGTTGAAGCAGATCGCAAACGAAGTGGAATTGTTCTGGAAGAGCGTCAGGGGTAGGCGAACAGAGTGGAAAGTGGCTTCCTCGGCTTCTTTTGAAGTAGTCCGACGGAGAGGATAGGGGCGAGGTTGAACAGAATTCATTTCGAGATCAGGGTCAGCGCGTCTTTCCCTTGTCCATCGTCTTTCACCATTTGAGCGGCCATGGTGAATCTGTGTTCGGGTACGAAGAGATGAGCAAGATGGGATTCGTTTTTATTTTGTATTTTAATTATTAATTTTAATTAAAAAATAACAAGCTGATGTGGCGCCAGATGTGGCGCATACGTGGCTGCCACATATGTGCTGTGTAACCAACAGTGAACATTTTATGGTTGACCGCTTTGTCAACCATTATCCATAACGGTCAACAAAATTGTCATGACGTAAATGTCACACACCTATCATACGTTAGGACACAAATGTCATATTGAATAGTTCAGACACAAATGACACATTCTTGATAGTTCGAGTTTCCTAGTGGTATTAGCCCTAATTAATATGGTTAAGTTAGTCTTATATACCACTACCACTTCTTAAAAATAATCAATGTGGTATCAAATGGTGTTTTAATGGTAAACAGAAGGATATGAAGTGTGCTAATATATATGGTCTTTCCAACCCATCTGTGATACGACCCCGAATCTCACGACAGACAAGGATGATCAAATTGAGGAAGGATCATTCTTAGGTTAAGCCGAAGAAGCATAAAATATGCACTCCTTAGCTATAAAGAACTAAAATACTTTGGATTGGAAGTGCCACAATCTACTTTAGCTAGATAGATTGATAGACTTTAGATACCACAAGTTTTGAATAGACTTGATAAGTCAAAGGAATGAGAGAATGGAAACTGAACTAAAATATTTTACATTTCATGATTTTTTATATTTATTAATGATATCTTTCTACATATTAGTGCTAGTTATACTACTACAATGACTTAGAAAAAAGATAGAAAATTAACTCCTACTAGTCTAGATAAGTAATAGCTTTGGATCTTGTAAACCCGCGGGTTGATCCGGACCGGTGGAACTAGTGGGTTAAGGGTGATGGGTCACCCGTTTTAGCCCGGAAATATGAAAAGAGTCATTATATTGTACTTATCCTGATAAATTATATTAAATCTCATCTAACTTATGAGTTATAACATATAATATTCCACCAAAATAACATGTCGTACTTAGATCCAACATATAGTGAAAATTCACACACACTTATATAACATATATATTCAAATGTTCAAGTTAGGATTCCAAAGATGGAGTTACGCGAAAAGAAAAATAAAAAAATAGACGCATTTCCAAACTAAAGAAAAAATGACACAATTTGACCTCCAATCTGGTACCTTGTAGAAATCGACCCGGCGGGTGTGTGCGACCCGTTTTTTTCACCGGGCCATAGTCAAAGTGGGTCGACCCGCGGGTTGACAACCTTGCTTTGGATTCATAGAAAAAGTAATAGCTTTTGAACTTTAAACGATCAATCTTTATTCATGGAATGACTCTTGGTAAGTGCATGAATTTTGATTCTTAAAAATGGCTTTAAATTGATTCATGTATCCATAACGGTGTGGGGGGATGTACTATTGATGTTGCCACTTTGTGTTACCATGATTCCAGTACCGATCGGAAGTTGATAATCAACTTTAGATTAAATGGGAAGGTATAAGTTGATGACACTTTATTTATAGTGTTTGTCACTCTCATTCTTGATACATTTTTGCCTTTTATCTATGTATTTTTTGTCATTTCAACAATATTTCTTGTCTAAATCACAACTATTTGATCAATGAAATTTTAGTAGACCTAGGTAATGTTCTGGTACTTTTTGATGCGTTTTGGGTATGTTTTTATTTATTTATGGTTTTGAAGGTATACAGCAACCTAAGAAAATTGGATCAAACATGGAAGAACTCTAGAGGACCAAATGAGCTATTAAAAAAACATATTGGAGTTTATACATAAAAGTAGTGGTTCAATGATAGAGAAATCAACTAGAAGTTGCTACATTATCTCAAGACAAGCCCATAGGAAGAAGACTCGGCCCATTCGGACAAAGGAACCAGCGGCGACCCAAGTATCAAGCCTAACAGCCGCTATGGGAGACATTTCAAGTCCATGGATCAGGAAGCCCAACCCACAAAGAAAAGGGCGGCGAGTCCAACCCCCACCCTACCGTCGCTAGCCTTAAATCCTTTTCGAAGAAGTTTACTTAGCCCAAAAGGAGAATGAGACTCTTTCCCAGTAGTTTTAGGTCGGATTTTCCCCTATAACTAGATGGCATGACCCATTAACTTAGTAAGGCTGCAAAAGCACACAAATTCTATGTAACACTCTAAACGAGTGATAGTCTAGTCGAAGTAGAGGGGTCTACAACTAAGTAGATGATGTCATAATCAATGGTGGTACCTTTTCTCCTCTATGTAGCTAGTCAAAATTGATTGTATTAGGATGTGATCTGGTTTATTGCTCTGGGAATGAATATTATGATTTCATCTCATGCTTGTGTTTGTTCATGAAAGTTTTGATGTTATTGCATATGTATATATGCTTTTACTTTTGATGCTTATGTGATGGTCATTGACGCTTCTATAGTATAAATGCTTCTTTATCATTGATGCTTAGGGATACCCCATTGATGCTGCACGAGTATAGAGGGAATGATAAACCATCTATTCCTCGAGTAGTATCAATGCTTAATTGTTAGATCATCAATGAAATAGACTATGGTTATGGTTCGTTGAAGTCCACAATAAATTATCTGATATCCTTACTTCCTTGTTCTTTATTGATAAGGTAGTGGCATGAAGAGAAGGCACACATTATCTAGTTAAATCTCTATCGCAAGAGGCACATGCACGTGTACAGAATGGCCTTAGAGGAAGGGATAAAGTGTTACAATAGATGAGTCATTGATGCATGTTGTGATTGAGCCATAGTAAGCATGATATTACTCGAGTTTACTACCTTCTACAATAACATATCTTTACTTTTACGCATCTATAAATAGAAAAACACATGATCAACTTTACTCTTCTTGCTTTGCTTGTTTGTTAAATGAAAACCTCTAAATGTCTTTATGAATTTCGTGTATGTCAGAATGATTAGTATGAGGAGTTATGCATTAGAAGACCTCAAAGAATAAGATCCTTGGTCTTTGTAGGCTTTTATCACTGATATTATATCAGAAGCCTGCAAAATTTATCAGTAAAGAAGGTATGTGAACTATTTGACCTCGAGGACCAAAGTGTCTTGCTATAAGATGCTTTGATTAAGTTTTTTGTCGAATAAAACTGTTTAATGAATCATACTCACTATAAAAAAGATTTGAGCGCATACAACATAATAAGATATACTCAAATTACTTAATTTGATATTTCGTCATGGTTAGGAAGCCCCTATAATTGTTGCTTTTACATTCGTGATGACAATGGGGCGGGGTGGGGCGAGTACCTCAATACTAGGGATGGCAATTTCGACCTGACCCGTTTTACCCGACCTATTTGACCTGTTTTGGGGCGGGTCCGACCCGCCCCATAGGCGGGGCGGGGCGGGCATGGGTACTCTCATAGACCCGACCTGCCCTGACCCGCCCCATTCTCGACCCGTTCTTGCCTAAATTACACGTAATTTTAGTCAAATTGTTTAGGATTTTCCTTTTACTAAATCAAATTTTAGCTATAATAAAGTTGTAAATTAGTGAAAACCTCAATTTCTCCAATAATTTAACTATATTTATCATAATATTGTTTGTTTCCATAGTCTTATAATAAATATAACGAACATTTCTAATATTTTTCATATAAATTGCTTACCCATTGGGTCGACCTGCCCCGACCTGTGACCCGTGATAAAATACCCGACCTGCCACGGGGCGGGTCTGGGTACCAAGAAACCCGCCCCGGACCTGCCCCATTGCCATTCCTACTCAATACCATACCTGCCTCGTACTAACCGCGGGTCAGTGCTCATACTATGTGGGTACCGGGAGTAGTGGGTCGACCCACTCTTACATGTTATTTGAAAAAAATACACGCAAAATTTTACTTTTTACGATAATACGAAGAGAAAACATTTAATGAATGAAAAATAATGATATTATAATGGTTAATTGAGTCTAACTAGTTGAAAGATCAAGTATAACTAGTAGAAGAAAAATCCAAATATGAGGAATATGAATAGATATTGTTAGAAATTGAGATAGAATGAGCCAAAAAATGGGGCAAGGTGGGTCAAAGCGAGTGAAAAGTAGATACTCATGGCCCGCCCATGCTACTATGAGTCAGATAATACCCGCCCCATCGTGACTCAGGTCGGGCAATACACAATGGGGCGGTAGACCTGGAAAATTACGACCCGATATGAACTCGCTCGAATAATAGAAGTTTTTATAACCCGAAACCCGAATGACCCAAACCCGATTAACTTGTGATTTTTGGGTTGATTCGGGTCCAATTGTACACATTTTACCCCCCATTTCTTGATAGTTTGGCTTTGTATTTAATCGTCTCTCAATCTATTTTACTCTAGGTTGTGCTATTGTTGATACATTTAAGGTCCTAGCACGTTTGGGAAGGTAGAGGACGAGTTTCGAGACAAATGGAGGCAAGAATGACAAGAAATTAAGAAAATAGAGAGAACACGGCTTGAACACGCCCGTGTTCATAGGTCGTGTCCGTAGCTGAGTTCCAGAGGCTTTTGCGCACCTCACTTGCATAGAAGATTATCAACGTCACTCAGACCGTGATAATCAATGAAGAGGGCGTGAAGTCGGGCAAAACGAAGCGTTTAGTCAATTTTTGAAGAACACGACCAGAACACGACCGTATCTTTGGCCGTGTTAGGGCTTTTCTAGCAGACGACCAAAATGCAACACACTAGAAAGTGAACACGGCCAGATGACACAGCCGTGTTCGAGCTATTTCTGCAAACTGTAAAGTCTGCAGTAGAAGGAAGAAGAGGGAGAGGTTTTTAGTATGTTTTCGTTTTCAGAACAAAAGAGGGTTTCTAGTGCGAGATTAGAGTTTCCTCTTCCTATTCTAGAGAGAGAAAGTGTCATTCAAAGGAGGAAGAAGGAGATTTGAGCTTCCCCTAAGCTAGAGGATTGAAGGTTTCTTCTTCTCAAGGGAGATTCAAGCAACAAGGAAGGAAGATTGTCATCTCTTCATGGTTCTTTCTCTCCTTTTTGTTGTTTTCCTTTGCCTAGCTATGGAATAGCCTACCTACTCACTTGGGTATTGTGAATCCTAGTCTAGATGCGTGTTAGGATGTAAGAACATGATTCAATTTTGTTGATTGTGTGTTTTATATAATATTTGAGGTATTATTCATGAATGATTGAGTGTTGCTTGCATTATCTCATTATTGGGTCAAATTAACCTAGAATGTAGAAATTCCCCTTTGGCCCATAGGGAGCTTGATCTCATAGCCACTTAGTTAACCCCTTTTAAGAGAGTTAGGGTTTCCACAGTTTGTTCGATAAAGAGAGCTAGGTTCGCTAGCTTATTGTGGCAATCCTTGATCGATCGACTTGGAGAGCTTGTAACTAGCTACTTGGACCCGCCTCACTGTATATGAACACGACCTCCACACTAGCGCTTCGTTCCTTGTTTCTTAGCACGAGACTAGGGGAAGCAATACCCAAGTGAAGTCCTCTCATATAGAATTCTCCTCGATTTACTTTCCTTGTTTGTGTTTTGTATTTTTCATAGTTTTAAATCCAAAACCGTTTGCTAGATAACAACCTCAACGATTGAAGTAGGGGTAAATGGACCGACCCCATTTTCACAATTAAAGCATACTTGCCCTATACTGCACCCAGCTAGAGTTTATGCTTGAGCTCTAGTCGAGATTTAAATAGCAGTGTAGTCCGTGGTGAGTCATGGGTCAGGTTAGATGGGCTTGTGGGTCGACCTGTTAGACCCGTTCCATTTCATGTGTCACTCCCAAAATGATAAAACCACTCATTAACCGGTGATGTTTACAAAAATTCACAAGGATTTGAAAGACATGCTTGGAGTTTAAGGAGAATTAAATATCATGTGTTTCTTGTAGTAGTATTACTCTTGTGATTGTTTTTTGACCATTTGTGAAATTTGGATTTCATTTCATTTCATTCGCATGGAGGATTTGAGAATGAACACTTCTACTATACTATAAAGTATTGGTGCTTTAATATACAACTTAAAGTTGTACCACAACGTTAAATGTATAAGTTTAAGGTTGTACAATAAAGGAATTTGTAAATTATGCTATGGTACAACTTTATAACTTAAAGTTGCACCATCACATGAAGGTACAAGTTTAAGTTGTACCATAAAGAATTTGTACAAAAAAGTATAGGTACAATATGAAGTTGTTCCATAACGTTAAAGGTACAACTTCAAGTTGTACCATAAAGGCAAAAAGTTATAGCATCAATGCTATATAGCATTGTAAAATTCAAGGTTCTAAAAGGCGCTAGGCGTAAGGCAGGCGCTCGGCTCCTGACTTGCGCCTTGCCCGATTAGGCGTAGCCTAGGCGCACCTAGGCGTTCAGAGCATAAATGGAAAAATTCTCAAATATTTCCTGTTTTCTGGAATAATTCATATAATTCAAGTGCATATAAAATTAGCAATGCCTAGTTCTTAACAGTAAACACTTAACATAACAAATAACAAGCAAATAGTGACCAATCATCTGCTAATAGGTGCTTATAGAGGCAAGAAGCTTGTGCTACGTACCGAGGAGAAGGAAGGAGCAGCAATTGACGAGTTTCGACTTTATTTCCCACTATAGCAGCGGAGTTGTGTGAAGGCGAGAAGAGTGATCGATGACTTTCTCCTGCGGCGGCAGAGAGCAGCAAATGGGGCGAGAGCTAGGGCGGTAGGCGGTAGCAGATGGGGCAAGATCTAGGGCGGCAGGCGGCAGCAGATGTTACTGATTTTCCGTGTTTCTTATTTTCTAGGGCAAGAGGCAAGTTTCTGATTTTCTAGGACAAAACGAAGAGTATTGGGTTTAACCGCCTAAGCTCGCCCAGGCACGCCTTCTCTCCACTAGGCGCAAACTAAGCGCTATTCCTACCTACTAAGAGCTACCAGCGCCTTTTACAACGCCTATGGCCAAGTCAAGGCAATCATCTACCGCCTAGCGCCTAATTGAGCCTAGGCGTACGCCTAGGCACGCCTTCTTGAACCCTGGTAAAATTACTCTTTGAGAATATGTTAATTGACATGTGTTAGGTAAACTATTTCCATGCATATGTAAAGATTTGTGTTCTTTAAAAAAATATGAAGCATGTATGATATTGTTTCTGAGAGCCCTCATAATCTGTAATGAACTATAACCTGACCCGAAACCCGATGGGTTTGACAATATTTAACCCAAAATCAGCCAACCCAATATGAACCGACCCGTAACCCATGGCCCTAATCCAAAATTAACCAACCTGATCCGATTGCCAGACCTACGGAGCGGGTTCAAATTGCCTTGGACCTGTAACCTTTTTTCTTACTACGGCCACCCTAATGATAATTAGTTATCTCGAACTTAGAATTGTAATCAATTAAGTTTTGTTCATCACCACACTCCAAAGATAAACCGATCTAGCAAATGGAAATCACAGAATATGAAGTTGTCACATGTAGCTTGATGCTCATATATTACAAGACGAATAAAATGCTGTAAGATAAAAATAAACACAACGTTATCATCCAAGAAAACAGAGAGCCATAATGATGAAAGAATCCAGAATTCGTCCTCCTAAAACCTGGGGAACTGGATTGAAGAACCACATCTCCCCTTTGGCAGGATGGGGCACTCAATGAACTCTGTCCCAGATGTGTCCACACACATATAAACCTGATACAACTGACTGTTCCTCGAAGAATCCACATTGCACTCCATTCCTGGCCTAAAACCTGTCCCTTCCTTTATCGCTTCCACAATGCTCTCCACCTCGTAGAACCCGTCGTCCGGCCTGATTCCTGTTCATAACCCCGAATCAGAAACGCCAGGAACAACTTATCGAACATAACCGTACACATTTCGATCCAACATTATTAGTGAAAACAATTTTACCAGCAGACTTGAGGATTTGGAGCAGGTTGGCTTTCTCCTTGAGCTTAAGAGCAGCCACGAAGTAGTCGTGCTGGTCCATTTCGGATTCTGAGCAGGTTCCGTGCTTCTCCCACTCGTGGGTCCAGAACTTCACGCCATCGCCGCTCGGGCAGGATAGTGTCGGCCAGAATTTCTGCAGCTGCGGCAGCAGGTCTTCTATCTGTGGAATTTTTTCGGGACGAACGAAGAATCAAAACAAGGTGAATCATTCCGCTAAAAAACCTGACACAGGGTTTGGGGGGAAAAAAAAAATCCTGACACAGTACTAGGAATCCGAACTAATTTAAACCTGGGATTCGTCGAACACGCTGTCGCGATCGCAGTTGGATGGATACCCGCCGTTCTTGTAGTTAGGCCAGAGGCCATGGATCCCGAAATCAGCTGTGGGTTTCCCTGTCTTCGGGTAGCAGCATCTTTGCCTCGAGTCGCAGTAGGCTCCCGGCCACTGCAGCACGTTGTGGATTGAATTAGAAGAACATATAGTTGGCGTGCCTGGCTACATATATATAATCCATCTATATACCACACGAACCTGTTGGACAAAGTAGAAGAAATCGAAGTCCTGAGCGACACAGAGTACCGAAAGGCATTGGAACATCAAAAGCGCCACAGAGGCAGAGAAGAAGGTCGTTGGCTTCATTATCATGTTTAGTCTTTCGAAAAAGCCTTTGGTTTTGTCTTTTGGGATGTTTGGATTCTGAAATTGTCTGCTACGACTGACTATATATAATTATATATACAGCCCTGAGATGGATCGCATATATATATATGAATATGCTTTCTTTGTGGCTGTGAACTGCGGTCTTAGCTGGTTTCTTACACATTTCCGCTTGCGTGTTCGGCCTCACGTAGCCATGTTGGTTGGTTCTCGATTGATGTTAGTTGTGACAGCCTCAACTTTATGTCATAATAACTTGCTTTCCCCTGCTTCATTTCTTTTTTTCTTTTTTGTCAATGAGGTTTGTTTGTTCTTCTGTTGACTTAGCCGCCCATCTCTTTTTAGGGTTGGGAAAATAGATCAGACTATTTAAAAAATTATGAATCAAATCGGACAACACAGTTTGGTCCTAACTGTAGATCAGTAAAAATGGTCAGGTCTGGTCCATGGTCTGTATTATATGATGTTTTGATATCTTGGCCTGGTCTGGTCTAGACTCTAGATCGTGGTTTACCGCACCAAATCGTGGACCCACTCAACTTTTCAATACGTGTTAGCACCCCACTCGACCACTCTCTCCATTCTCCCAACGAGACTCAAGTCTCAACTCTACTTTTGAGAATCTCGTCCCCTTTTTCATTCACTACCACATTTCACCAAAGAGTATCGACGATCGTGTCTCCATATGACATTATGTTAATGTTTATGACGCTATGGAGCAAGTTCGGATGCTTAGACTTTGTATTTTTGTTTTTTATTGAGCTTTAGGGTGTCAAAATTCTTCATGCATGTTGTAGTTTATGTTTTTAGGCAAACAAATAATTTTTTTCTCGGTAATTGATTCAATTTTTTGTGTGGTTGACTAAACAAATTGTTCATTTTTCGTTCATTGTGGTCTATTTGGACTAGACCGTACCGGACCATACCGCGCATGCGTGGTCTGGATTACACCGTATATTATGTGGTCCGGTCTCTGGTCTATACTCCAGCCTCTCGATATAGACCATAGACTGTATATATGGTATGGTATTTGGACCAAACCGCACTGTTTTCCAGTCCTATCTCTTTCCTTGATCTCTCACGATTTTGTACAGTTATGTTACCAAGGTTTACAATACGTATGGTCGCATTCTGTGACAAAAAAGATATTTTGTTATTTCATGAATTAGAATTAGGATCCTATAGTTTAACGAATGATACGATATGAAAACTCAATTTAAAGAATTGTGAATTTGTAGGTGTGAGTTTGTCTTATCTTATTGTCATTAAATATAAGATTAAGTTTCAATGTTGACTATTAATAAGCAAAACTTGAAAGGGCGGTTGCTACTTTTGCATCAGAGGAAACATGTGAGGGAGGGAGGGAGGGAGTCAGTGCAATACAAGCGAAAGCAAGGCAATGGGGTTTAATTGAAGTTTCAGGAACCAGTTTTATTGCGTGCACTTCAACTCCAAAAGACACGTTCCAAGCCCCAAACTAACTAAACCCCATTTTTCATTTGATATTCAATTTGGACGGTGTCAAGAGCAGCAGTTATACTCTCGTTTTCTTGGCGTCACGTCTCCAAAAACCAAATTCACCTTAGCTACCTATTGGATGGAGTTGAAAGTTCCAGACTTTGTGAACCTCACAAATTACATTTACTGCGATGATGTACCCTGTTATGAGTTTAGAATTGAACGATGAAGGCATTGTTTACATTAAACCTTATTATAGCATTATAGGATATGACTAATTGGCTATAGTTTATTTCAATACATGTAATGTAATGAGTCATCTCATCTCACTGACACCAATCGAACTATCTAAAACTCAGGGTATTTCATATTATATTCTTATAAAAGTAAATAATTTATCTTATCTGGGTATAGTATGAAACAAGCATTATCTTTATTCTTTTATCTTGTAGCTCGGTGGATCATCCAAGCTCTTACAAAGAAATACGTACATTTGATATTTTTTTTAGTTAGTTTCTTTGTTCGTGAGGAATTGAAATCATGTGGGTAATTACGTTAGACATAATAGTTGGGAACACTTTACAAATATTGAATTGGAGGACTGGATAGTACACAAGGTTCAATTAACTATTGGATGAAGCCCAACAGCTATAATCCTAAGCATGGGGACAACTTCTTAAGTTAGTATAGTTACTAATTTTCTAGTTGCTAACATGGCTACCTACATCTTCACCGTCCAATCTTAATATTTTTAAACTGAAACTCATAATTGAGCAAAGATAATTTTGAAAAAAATAATAACCACATCAAATTATTCTCTTTAAAATATAACTTTCTATATTTTATCACAAACTCTAAATAATTATTTCCAACCTAACCATTCAGTCGCCTGCCTCCCTCCTTCCCTCTCTAGCGTAACTTCTTACTATCGATCGTCCTCCCTCCTCTCCTCCCCTCCCCATCGCCTCCCTCCTCCACTCCACTCCAATCCCCACCTCACTTCCCTTCCTCCCTGCTCCCCACCCTACCCCACCCATCGCCTCTTTCTCTCTCCCCCTATGAGAACACGTCGTCAATGATTTGACGTTGTTGCGGCGACGAGAGTAGCTGGCAACCCTTAGTCAAATCCCAAATTTTTTGTTTTTCTATTGATTTTTTTATATTGGTATTGATTTTTTGTAGTTATATTTGTTATGAAAATTGTTCACATATACTACATCTTGCAAAAACAAGTAACATGTAAGATCACGAAAAACATGCAAAGACATATGTAACGTCCTAGCAGACATAATTCAATGTCTTTTCTTAAAAAATCTTATTCCCCTCTAGTACGCAAGGTTATAGAATGATTCCTTCCAAGGTAGAAAGGACGTACGTTTCTGGCATAATGGTACCTCAAACCCAGGAAACCAGCGAACGCAACAAGACGGCAAGAACCACACTTGACTCTATTTTTTTTTTCTTTTGAAAACTATGTAGAAAAAAAAAACACTTTTGATTTTGGCAGAGTTTCGATACCAGAAAAATCGTGGTTTTCAAAACCAGAGGGGTTAGGTGCTATTTATATAAAATGAAGGGGTGCGTAAGAAGGGAGGCAACTCTTGGTATGAGTAGTTACACCCCAACCATTGAAATGGTTGGTTTGAGGTTTCTCAACCATTGCATCGGTTCAGCCTATGGTAGTTCAACCAGTTTGGTTATTCCAACCACCATATTCGTTCGGTTTGATTTGGTTCAACTTGGTTCAGTTTTGTTTGGTTGGTTACACATACCAATTTAACCAATTAATAACGTATTACATCAAATCGATCGAATTTTAGGCCGTGCCTTCCCACATCTTACCAACATGGTACTTCAAGAGATTCTCTTGGAGCCCCTTTCATTTCCATTCACACTATTAAAAATCCCAACAATCCCCCACATGAATGGAGAATGTTGTACTTTAAAAACTATGCAAAAAACTGTGTGATTCTCGACTAAGAATTAGTTGCATGGGTATAGGTCAGTTTCCCTTTGAACCTTCCTTAGTGAAGATATATCTAGTATACTCACCAATAGGTAGATGTGATATCTATGAACCATCGATTTTTATTGTACACTAAGAACACATATGTCACACAACTAACTCTTATCCGTTCGTTGGTTCTCATTGTTGTGTTCGTTTTAGCCATGAACACCGTCCGGTCTCATGAGTGCTTAGAGAACTGGACTTCTTTTATTCTTCATGAAGCGGCTCCACTTCACACTCACGTAGGTCATTTCTAAAAGTATATTTTGAAAACACACTATTTGATCAAACCATGTGTCAAACTTAGAAACCATTAAGGTAACGTTTGCTTGTGAGATTTGGGTGATGGATTTGGCACCGAAATCCCAAGCATCAAGAACTTGGCACAAATCCATTTAAGGGACACAAATTCGTGGGGTCCACGGATCCATGGACCCCACGGATTTGTAAATCCCACATTTCATTTGGGATTTGATAATGGAAGGCAAAGTTGTGATACAAATCCATTATAAATCCATGATAAAAATTAACTAAGAAAACAATGTACTCTTCCAAATCCATCATAAATCCAAAGATTTTTAAAACCTAAATCCTTCATTTCCAAAATCCAACAAGCAAACAAGCCCTAAAAACCTTTCATATTTAGGTTTAACCTTATTTTGTACATTGTCTCATCATGAGAATGTACTTTGAATAATTTGACAATGTCAGACCATCATTCACAACATTTTTTGCTCCTTGAACCTAGAGGTTGGGTCTGCCAACTCTATTTAGGTAGAGTTACAGCTATGATGATTTTTCCTAGGAAACGAGTTCATTCCCTTCGATGCTTTAATTAATTTCAAAATGGCCCCACGTTTGTTATCATTTGATCTAAATGATCAACTCTGATAACTTCACTAAAAATTAATCAATCAATTGTGTTATGTTTCCATTATCTATGACGATATTTATTATATAACACTTCTAGCCATTGCAATCACAACTTTGTTCCTGCACAAAGTGCTTTTATCGAAGCCAAATTTTGCGGGCCAGACTATTAAACTTCACCGGTCTTAGAGTGGGTATATATACAGTTCAACTTGGATGTTTTCCAAGGAATTGCTCCCCATCAACCATAAATGCATATCCATTAATGGATTATACCTTTTGGTTCATCCGGTGAGTTTCTTTGGGTATAATACACCAAAGACTCGTCTCTTTCGATTCACTACATATCATGTGTGCTTGACTTAATTTTATTGCCCTGCAATAATCCTAACACATGCCAACGATGTTGAAGTTTATCTACTTCATTAACCTTAGAATACTTGAGCTTCACAAGTAGTTCTTCCAATGTAGTAATAGCTTAGGGTTTAGGCAAAACTTCTATGTTTCCACATCACTTCTTCCCAATATTTCCCCCACATTTCAACTATTTCGCCATAGTTGTGGAAACCCAATGTTTCCAATATGAGGAATGTTGTTCATATACTTGCATGTATATGATTGACATCATTTTCCTTTTGGAAAGAGTGTATCAATGCCTTAAAGAAATCATCTTCTGGTTTCTTAAACTAGCTCTCTAACATAAAGTTAACATATGCTAGATTTTACTCATAATTTATACCC